TTTACTATTGAATACAGCAGTGGTGGCTTTCTTCTCAAAATAACTTATTTCAGTGTTTCGGTAAGAGTTCAGCTTCAGTTTGCTCACTGGCAATACTACAGCTTATTCTTACTGATGGGAGGGCATACTGATGGAGTGGTTTTGACGGTAGTAAAATACTTCCTAAACAGGAAAAAGCATATGGAACTGGAATCAGAGCTTCAATCCCTTCGGAAAGCAAACCATCATCTTGAAAACATTCTGGAGGCAACCAAAGCACACAAGCGCCGAGAAGTCTCTCAGTTACATAAGCTACATAGAGAAACTCTTAAGGTATGAGAAGAAGTTTATTTAAAACCACGCATTACTTACTCCCGAGTTGTATGAGAACATACTTTCATTTGTATGATCCCTAAACCTCACTACTGTTCTGGTGTGTAATCCATATGTGATGAAGCAGTTATGCTGCTTTTTTGTTCTGAAATGCTTACTGAATGACTACTACTGTAATCAGATGACAAATCTGAAAAAGTGTAGTGGTTTAGAACTAACCACTCTGAGCATTTTATTTCATTATGTTGCTTATAGAACTAGGAAATACAATACCAGACAAAGTCTTAATTCCATTTTATAGTTAAAATCAAGACTGCTTTGTAATCTTTATAACAGAACATAACCACTCCAACAAAAGCTTACCAGCTAAGATCTCGCCTAGTGCCGCGAATAAGCCCAGAAGTCTTAGATTATCATTCTGAAGATTTTCAGTGTTGTAAAGAGATGATGGATGACATTTTGAAAGAGCCAGTTCCTGCAGAGATGAATGAACAAGCATATGACGCCATTGCTGAGGAGCTCAAGGTGGCACAGGTGAATGTCCTGAGTAAAAACTGAAGTGTATGTGTAACTTTATTATAAAGCTGGTTTTGGCATGAAATACTTCCCCACCACCACCAAATATATTTTAATTTGCATGGGAAACTGAAGCTCTTGATGAATACTTAATGCTTCACTAAACAGTTCATGATACATTGTACTTAAGAGGATTTACAATGACAATAATGAAAAGGATTTGAGAGTTGAATATCCTAAGTAGTTTAAGGTATATAGGGCATTTAAACTTTTACTATTTTTACCTGATAACTTGTTTCTGAGGAAACTTCTTTATAAGTCTCTGGTGATAGCTACCTTTGGAACAATACCCAAGCTTAATATATAATACATTATTTGCATTATTTGAAGAAATCTGCCAAATATTGATTGTCCACCGTTATACTTTAATTGTCTTGTATCTTTCCTAAAGGGCAAGGAAAGTCTTTAATCACATAACTGTGGCACTCTTCTATCTGAACTACTCTCTAGAAGCTGAAACTAAGTTCAGTGCATGTAAAACCCTGGCACAACAGCCAAACCCCCTCTTTGATGCTTAGCATAGTGCAGAGACCTTGTAAGGAATTAACTAATGTATATTTTGAATAACTTCTTTTTAAAGCCTTATTTCTCCACGATAAGCATGTGTCTGAAAACTAAGTTTGTATTAGATTCAGTCCTTGTATTCACTGACGGATTTTCTTGTGTTCTGCCAGTTTAGTTAGCAAATAGGAGACATCAGCTACTTAAGATACCAGGTTATTTTTGAATGTTCTGTTTTCTGTTGGTTCAGGTCATAAAAAAAGAAAGTAGTTGACATTTTTATATTTAATATGCACAGACTGCCATATGGCATGTAAGAATAACTGGGAGATGGGTGTTCTAATTTTGAGTGTCTGTTGTGTCACAGGAGCAACTGAGCACAATGCAGACAAAGCTGGATGAAGAGGAAAGCAAGAATATAAAACTCCAGCAGCATATTAATAAACTGGAGCATCATTCTGCACAAATACAGGAGGTGAGAGAACAATATAATACAGGGCTATACATGAGTGTGTATATATGACAAGGTGGTATCTACCACACTCATACTGCTGTGTTGTCTAGTGAAGTCTGCAATGTAACTTGTATTTTGACTTTTGAAAAATTTACATAGCATCATAGCTCAGGGCTGTGCAGGAAGTGAAGGACTTCATTTAACATAACACTGCAGGTTTGGGGGCTTTTTTTGTTTTGTTGTTTTAAATGCTGTGATTCTCAGCCTGCTTGTTCTTAAATATAAGTGAATAGACACTCAAGATGTTTGTGCTTGATTTTGTCCAACTTCATGATTTCTGGAAAATCACAGTAGTCTCGAGGAAATTTTAAACTTTGGAATGCTGAAAATACTACTTGCCTCAGTTGAAACAGAACTGAAACATCCTTACTCTATAAAATATTTACAAGGCTTCCTTAATAGCTAGGTTTGATTTAACATAGAAAAGGAAGTAAGGCCTATTTTCTTCCCAGATCAGTCGTATTTCTGATAGCTCTGTTCTGAAGTAGATCTCAGCTTCTAAGCTGTGGTTTGCTTTTAAATGAACTTTTTAGATAAGGTAACATCTTCAGTTACATTGAAATTGTTTGGTTTTTTTTTTTCCTTGGACTTCTATGGATTTCAGATTCACCAAATATCAAATTTAAGGAAAAATGCATCTTGTACTCATAATCAGCTGATGAAATGCTCTACTACATTATTATTGTTACAGCTCTGTGACTTAGCCACTCCTATATTTCCTTCCATTTAAAAATTTTACTTCTCTTCTCAAGCTTCTTTCATCCGAAAGGAATGACTGGAGTAAACAGCGCCAGGAGCTCCTTGAACAGATAAAATCGCTTGAAAAGCAATTTCAAGACAGTCAAAGCAAGACTGATAGTAAGTCTATGTAACACTAGAATTTCATAAGAAGTTTTGAGGTGTCTTAACGTTTTGAATCAACAATAGCACATGCTGAGTAACTATTTGGGTTTAAGATGTTAAAGTCATACTGGTTTGATTTTTTTAATCTTATTTTTAAAAGAAAAAAATCTCTAATACTTGCAGAATAGCTTTTCTCTGTCCAGTCTTGCACAGTATACAATATTGAAAATTGTTCTCTGTTCACTCTGAATGCGAAGGGAATACAAGATACAGCATTTTATAAAGAAAATATTAACTAAAAAGAAAGGGAAAATCCTCTATTTGTCTATGGAAATGCAGTGATATCGTCTGGAATGTTTTTGATTCTTTTAGTACTTTAGCCCATACTCTTTAGTTCTTAAACTCAATGTTTAATTGACCTTTTCCATTTACAAATCCTTTTTGCGTGTGACTGTCAAGCTTAATTCTACTGAAAATGTGTAAAGTTTTGTGAGACTTTCCCAGGACGTTCTGTAGTGCTACATGTCCTGTATCTAGCACAGTTTTCCAAATAACATGTAAAATATTTGGTTTTTGACAGTATTAGAAAGTGAAGTCTATGACTTGCGCATTGTCCTGCAGTCTGCAGACAAGGAGCTGTCTGCTGTAAAATTGGAATATAGTGCCTTTAGGGAAAAGCAAGAGAAAGAAATGAGTCAGCTTTCTGGTAGACATATGGATGTACAGTTCCAGCTGGACAGTGTCAGGTATGTTGACAGTTTGGTAAAATGCCTTAACCTCCATTCTGGATGCATCCAGTGATTTTGTTGTTCTACTCGGCATGTGAACTTGCACTTCACATCTCTTAAAGTTGTTACTTTGTGTCTGTGTTCTTTGTTTACTTTTTTCTCAATTCTTTCCATGCCTGTCTCAGAGCCATGAGGGGGAACATGGTGAAATGAGCAGAAAGAAAATAAAATTAGGCTTCCTTAATTTTTGTTTGCTATAGCATTTTCCCATTAAGTAGGATGTACCTATAAGCTTATTGATCTCCAAAAGTTAAGTGTCTGAAGAGGCATCGTTTGTTTGGGTTTCTTTTTTTTTTCCAATTTAGTCTTAAAAATTAACTGTTACTTCTCAGTCTGGTCATGTGAAACAGGTGACATAATGATGCTGCTCTAAAAATACAAGCAGAAAGAAATGATAAAAATAAACTGAAGCTTGACTAGTGAAAAGCTCACTGTGTTGTATGCAATAAGTGACATTATTATTGGGAGATGAAAATCAATGAGGTTTTTTTTAACCATTAGTGTGACTTAGCTATGTTGGGTTTTGGTGGTGGTTTTTGTTCCTTTTCTTGGGTTTTGGTTTTGTGTTTATGTGTGGGGTTTTGGTTTGTTTTTTTTTTTTCCTGGAAAGCTTAACTATGTTATTGCATTATAGCAGGTCACGTCTTAGCTGAAGTCATTTTTTGAGTGATGCATTGTGAGACTGGGAATCTGGAATTCAAATTAAGTGTTGTGGTTTCACTGATGCATTCTGTGTTAGCAGAAGTACTGACTTTTTGGAGGGTATTCTTTTTATAGACTCTCCATTAATGATATGATTTGTAACACCTGTCTAGAAGCTCTTTTACCCCTCTTTGCTTTTCACTGTTGTGAAAGATCAAATGAAGTAAGTTTTTGGGGCAGCAAAATAACCCAGACTTGCCCAGAATATATAAAGATTTTATATGGGATAAATAACCCAGATATCAGCTAAGCAGATGTAGGTACTCAGGATCATTCTAGCAGAGTCTTGTCCAACACCTGGTTAAAAAAGAGATTAAAAAGGAAAAAAAAAAAAAAAGGTGAATGCCATTATCAAGACACAGTGACTGAAATTTCTATTGAATTTTGTAAGAAGGAAATTATTTCTAGGGACCAGAAAGAGTACTCTGCCTTCTCTGCCAATGCCACTTAAATTTTCTGTGCCCTTCATAAATTTGGCATTTCTGAGTTTTAAAAAAAAAACGTTACTATTTATGTCAGTCACTTCTTTCTAAAATAACTGTACTCTGTATATTATCTGAAGATTATAAAATACAACTGAATGGACTAATTTTATAATGAAACAAACCCTTATCTTAATATTGGGGGGGTGGGGGTGGGTTTTTTGTTCTGTTTTTTGTTTTTTTATAAAGGCTAGAACATGAAAAGATTCTTGAAGAAAAAGCAAGCCTGCAGGATGACTATGACAATTTGCAGGAAGTAGCGAAGTTTGAGACAGATCAGCTGAAGCAACAACTTGAGGACAGAAAACAAGAAGCAGAAGCAATGAAAACTGAGCTTTGTGTAAGACAGCCAAGACTTTTAAAGGATGTTATTACACGGTTACTTATGTAGCCAGATTGTTTAATTCCTGTTACTGTATCACTGGTAATAGATTCCACAGTAATAATAGGTTTCCTGGTGATCTCATTTGGAAGATGTACCCAGAATCTTTTTTAAACCTTAGCGCAAGATTTTTGCAATCGCAGGCTACAAGAAATATCCAATAGCATGATTAAACAGTAGGTTTTCGGCTGAAGAAATTGCTCTGGAAATGTTGAGGGAGATGGGTTAATTAGCAAAGGAATAAGAAAATGCTTTGGAAAAGTATCCTGACATCGAAATGCTGGTGACCTTTCATCTCAGTGCTAACTTAAAATGATCTATGCCTTTTTGTGGTGGATCACTGTCCTGCAATTTAGTTGTTGCTGTCCTTCAAAGCCTGTCAGACTGCAGCGACTGCAAAACAGCAGTAAGGTTGCTCAAGGGCTTTTGCAAATGATTTTGCCTGCTTTTCTGCAGTGTACACTGTGCCTGCTCAGCAAGTTTGCTGTAAGTTTTCCTTTTTAGTGTTTAAAGGAATACTGACAGATTGAAAATTATTATTTTAAATTCTTTATAGTCTAATATCTTGAACTGCTGGTTTGAATTTGAAAAATCCCCCCCAAATTAATCTACAGTTGAAAATTGTAATTTCTCCCTTTAAAGCGTTGGATATCAAGGAACATTATAGCTATATGAAATCATTATCAATGGCAGGTGAAAAGAGCTGATAGCTTAATATAAATCAGAGTTTACTTTTGAACTTGTCCAGGACAAAGCTAAAGACCTTTGTTTCCATCTAAGCTTTTGTGGGGGCTTTGTGTACATTTTTATTTTGGTTTAAATTATTCTAAAGACCTTATATTGTAACCTGTTATAACAACATATATTTTGATATTCTAGAACCTTTTGAAACTCCTGAAAAAAGAAAAAGAACATAATGAAAAACTAACATTAAAATTACAAGAAGACAAAGAAAACAATTCAAAGTAAGTTTTAATTAGTGGTGGGGTTTATTTTCATCTGACTTCATTGGTTTTGTCCTATGCTAGGTTTTTTATTCACATGGGGATCGTATTTGTTGATGTGTTTTTCCCCAGCTGGGTGGAGATAACTACATAACAGGCTTTTTTATTTTATCCAGCTTAGAACAACACTTCATTTTAATGTATTCAATTAACATGACAAATGTAATTTCATTACAAGTAGAGTTTTTCATGTCAAAGATGAAGTTCCACTACTGGTAGTAGTGTATGGCTAGTAACTAAACTTAGTCTTTTGTATAGCACTGAGAAGGTGATAGTTAAAGAACTCTTAAAAAAAATGAAGTGCAAATAAGAATAAACTTATATGACTTGATTGTTGTTAAAGCTCTCTTATGTTCTGGTTATATTTCTCATTACAAATATGTGTTCTTCTCCAGGGAGCTCCTGAAAGTACTGGAAAAAGCACAGGTGGAGAAACCATCCTCTGAAATGGTGACACGGTGTGAGCAGCAGGTACAACAGCAGAAGCTGAATGACTAAATTGTGTGTTCATGGATTTCTTGTGCATTAACAGCAATTTTATTGGTGAACTGACTGTTCTGTAGATCACCAGTAAAATAAATGTGGAGTTCTCAAGTTTCAGATTGTTTTGTTAAGCTACTGCTTAATTTTTCTGGTAAGGTAAACAACCTGGTTCCTTCCATTTTTTTCATGGCTTTGTGCTTTACAAAACATACTTCAAGAGTAATTAAGTGTCTCCTCTGCAATTATCATTTCTTCTAGGAAGCAAAACTGCAGAAATTGGAACAGGAGCTGGCTGCTGCTGAAGAGTTTATTGTTTCTTTGAAGAAGACAAATGATGCGGATAAGGTTTGGGCTTATTTCTGTTACCGATACCCAGTTTTGCTAGTAACTATGTTCTGCAGTGGAGTTGAAAGCCTGGAGCCTTTCTATAATACTTAGTAATTCTGTGATTCTAGACAATCCTAGCTGTGTATCTATGTAAAATAAATCCTACCTTTTACTGGCACGGAGTTGGCCGGATAGTAGGAAACTGGTATGTGTTCAGAGAAAACACAAGGCAACTGAAGGTTAAACAAAAAAAAAAATCAAGGTAAAGCTGTCTACTGAACAAAACATTCAATGCATAAACAATGCATAATTCCCCTGATGATTAATAGTACCTTCTAGTAAGTGTCATGTTGTAATGGACTAATAGAAAAGGTAAGAAAGGTGATGTAAAAACATGACTATGGGTATATTTATTAATAAAATCAGAGCATCATTACATGAAAAGACTGCTCCAGTGTTCTGAAAGCTTAAATAGCAAAAGTTCCCATAGTAAAACCATTTATGCTGCATGTAAAACAGGCATAAGAAATCCCATAGTGTGTTTACTATCCAACACGATGTGTTGATAAGTCTTGCTTTTTTGGTGCTAAAACCAAAAATTTGACATGTATAAGGTCAGAAGAATCTGATATTGTCAGTGCAGTGGTGCTTCTTGAATGTGCCTTCTTCCATTACAAACAAATGTAACCTTAAGCTATAGTACTTCTATTCTCCTATTAGAAACCCATTACAGCCTGAGACTAAATCAGAGGGCTAGTCTTCTAATGAACACAGCAGGCTATTTAATTCTCTATGTAAGTGCTTAGAACAAAAGCCAACGATTTAGCAACACATTTCCTGTTACTCCTTTACATGTGCGTATTGAAGCCTCATTTTCAAATGGCTGTTTGAAATTTGGGATTGACAAATTATACACCAAAGAAAGTACAGTAATAAAATATATCTAATACATACACATAATGTATCGGTTGATTATGATTAACTTTTTCTTATGTTGCAGGAAGTTGTAACTGACTTGATGAGACAGATCCAGGAGCTGAGGTCTTCAGTTAATCATAAAACTGAGTCCATAGATGGGCTGACAAGAGAGCTCGAGGATATTAATGTATGTTCCGTCATTTGAAGGACATGGTATAGATTTTCAGAAATGGAAGACAATGACATGTCTTATCATGGGTCTTGAACAGTGTAACTTGCTGTAGCGTGTTAGAAGGAACTTCTTTGTTTTGACGTGTTGAAATCTTCTGAACATTTTATGCCTAAGGCTGTTTTGAAAACTGAACTCTTTCCACATGGTGGGTAAAGAGCAGTGTCTCTCAAGGGACTTATTCACATCCTGTAAACTACACTCAGCTAATGGTCACATTTAAATTTTCTCAGAAATTGGCAATTTAAGACCTCAACAATTGAAGCTGAATTGTAAATTCATTTTTGAGTGAATTTTTATGTTGATGATACTACTATGTTCTACATCTGAAAACCTAAGTGTAAAGAACTAAAACTGTGTATCTGAATAACTATGAATAAATATGATGCATTCTTTTTACTAAAATAGGTCTGGTTTGCAAACTGATAGAGCAGCCCACAGAATGCTTTAGATACTGTATATGTATGAACTATGCATTCAAAAGGTCCTACAGACAAAATGTTGATGAGACAGATTTCTACATATGGTTATCTTTTTTTTTTTTTTCAATAATGGTTTTAGTGGTTAATAGGTATTGTGGTGGCTAATCCGTATTAAATTAATACTCTTTTTCCATTGTTCGGACAACTCATTTCTAACAACGTAGTTTGTACAATTTAGCAAGTATGATACATCGTTCTGATTTCAGTCATTGACACTGAGATTTTAAATGTTTGTAGTTGTCATCGTAAGATTTGTGATATACATTTATTTGTATTATGTTTGCCAACTTTCTTCGGTAACATGTTTTCCTAAAATATTCTAAAATTTAATCCTTTTCATAGTGTAAGTATAATCTTGCTCTGGCTGCAAAAGAAGAAAGCAAAGGAATCATAGAGGATCAGGAAAAGAAGATTGAAGAACTGAGGGAAGCCTTGGAGAGAAGACAAATAGCTGATAACATTGAGGTAAAAACATTAATGTTGGTATATTATGATTATTTGCTCAACAGACCAATTGGATGTGGTTTTGCTTACAATACTTGTGTAAAACTTAACCTCATTTTAGTTCAAACTAAAGCTAGTTAAGCTGTTCTTAAAGGAGTTTTTTATGAGATACTGACAAATTCTGTTAAATTATCACATTACTTGACATAAATATTTTATAAGCTACTTCATAAAAACCTATGCTAAAAGCCTGGCTTAATTTTGTTAAGGCCACTAAGGAGTCATCAGCTGAATTTAATGGCAACATTAGATGATGCAACTGAGAAATTAAAATAGGTAGAAGAATATATTATGTTTAATATTATCTCTTCCCCCACTGCTACTATATTCAGTAACATCTTTTCTTTACTCATAATTTTAACTAAAAGCTCCACCTGCTGGAAACAGATCTAGGATGCATGGTTGATTCAACTGCAGTTTTGCTTTTTAAAATTTTATCTTTCTTTAATGATGTCTTTCCTGTTACTGTTCTCACCATTATTTTGGTGAACACGTCCATCAGTCAAAACTACCAGCCTCTCCTTACAAATAATTTCTACAAGAACATCTGTCATGTTACATAAGCTTTGTCCAATCATATACCACTAAAAAAGTCTTCCAGAGTAGCGTTTGCTTCTCAAAAACTATTCTTAACTATATTTCCACTATGTTTAATAAACAGACTATCTTCATTAACAATCATATCTAAATTTGACATTCTGGAATCCTAAACTGAGTTGCCTGCCAAATAGATCACTTTCTGCTTTTGGGTTTTTTGTTTGTTTGTTTTTAAACTGAAGTAACAATTCTTACTACATTGTTATCCTTGGGTGTAACTGGCTCCTGATAAAATCAGAGTGTTTGTCCTTCTTCGACTTTGTAAATCAGTTACTAACTGCCTCTGTGCTTTCTTGACTGGACAAGAACTACTAATCCAAGGTGGCATGTAAAATACTGTTTCTCCTCCTAGGTTAACACCCTGTGTAGGTATGATGCCCTATCAGATAGGGTGGGAGTCTAGATCCTAGAATAAATCCAGAGGTATCTACAGAATAGCGGTCCACTAAAAAAGCTGTAATCACTAATTCAGCATGGATTAAAATCTATACGTTCTTTTCTGGTTTCTTATTTAAAGAATTGTATCTCTTTTTAAGTATACATTATAGTTTAAAACAGTGGTTGATTCCAAATATCTCCCACAAGTATCTAACTAACTAGACTAGGAAAGTTCTTGGTTTTGTTCTGCAACCAAGACAATGGCTATGGAAACAGTCCTAAAATAAGAAATCTATAGATGAATGCTTGCTACAATTCATGATGAAAAAGTGGAGGGAAAACGGAGATGCTTGTAGTTGTTAGCAATCTTAGCAACAATGACAAAACATTTTGAAACAACTGCTTTAGAGTAATAACTTTAACATTTGTTTACTCATCCAATGACTTAGAGAGACCTTCTGTGTGAAGACTTGCACCATACCACTGATCAGCTGATAAGACTGACAGAGGCCTCTAAGAAACATGATTCATTGCTTCAGTGTGCACAGGAAGACATAACAAAGAAAGAAGCTCTAATCCAGGAACTCAGGGAACAGGTAAAACAAGGAAATTCTTCTGATTGTTAGCTTCTTGGGAGGGAACTGTGGTTAATTGTAGCTTCTGGAAAAGGTTTTACTTGTAATTTTAGTGCACCTTGTACACAGTACTCTTGGTGAAGAGCAATGCTCCTTCCTGTAAAAGCAAAGCAGTAGTTCAAAAGCTTCTGAACAAAGGCTAGATAACTTTTAAATACTTTGGAAATGGTGTCTAGAGATCACAAAGATGTTTACTCTGAAAGCAGAGTAAAATTATCAGTACCTATAGTAACAGAGCAACCTGAGGTTATAAGCAGTGTAACCCTAGAGGATTACTTTTTCCTCTGCTTAACGCTTATCCACAAACTATATCATTACGTAGTGGAGATAATTGTTGACCTCTATAAATTACTCAGAGTGATTTGGAGCTTTTGCAGACCAAACAGCTATGTTAACCCTTTGTCCAAATTTTAGCTCTAGCTGTCACAACTGTCATAGTGCTAAGTAGTATATTTGTGTTGGCAAAAACTCTAATAAGGATAAGTTTCTCTGGAATGAAGCCTCCTTTTGTCATGTTAGCACATCCTCTTTGAAGAAACTGATTAAATCTATACCAGTAAAATCTTTGTATCAAATCATGTTTTGACCAGTAATGTTTGCCAACAAAGTTCATAATAGGTTTTCTGTGCTAGTAAGCCCTTTGAAAAGTAGATTGTGTTAACAAAGCAAAAAAAATCAAACACCAACAAGAAGAACAAAATTCAGATTAACTACACAGTGTACAGTATGTAGTGTATACATGCTTTCAAAAAATGCTTGTTACATGCAACTATTGAATGATTAACAGTTATTAGGTAAATACAGGAAACAATTACGGAAGTGAAGTCAAAGGTAATCTAAAATAACTTGCAGTGTACTCAAGCTTGCTCAAAATAGAGATCTGGCTGCTGTTTTCTTTAATTTTGTGTGTATTATGAGCTAATTTAATTGGGGTTTCTAATAGTTGGACAGAACAACAGAAGAACTGGAGAAGAGGAAGAATAAATATGAACTAAAAATGAAGCAAATAGATTGCTTTGTGGACTCATCTTCAGTAACGTTTCCCCAGGTATGGCATTTGTGAGAGAAACATTTTCATTGTAATGACTGTTAAAACTCATTGAGAAGGATCAGTAAACTTTACAGCATGGCTTCAGGCTGGGACCACAAATGATAACATATTGAGAATGGTCAAATCCCATTCACCTTTTTTGTAACTTAAATGTTTTATTGATGATTTGTCTGCCCAGAATTTATTAATATATGTCTCCAATTAAGTATTAAAACATGTAAGCAATACATAGGGGAAACAATTCTTTACTAATAGTTCGTGGGTTTTGTTTCTTTTATCTTGCCAGTGTCCAAAAACCCCACCTAATTTTGATGTGAATTTGGCAAAGCTCTTGGAAACTCATGAGCAAGAAATAGCTGATCGGAGGGCTTCTGCGATAAATCTGGAGCACCTTGTACATGAACTGAATGAAGAACGAAGAGCTAAAAATGATGAAATTCTAAGGCTGAAGGTACTATGAGTTAATCTTTACAGGCAACTTGTAAAGTTAAAATAAGACAGAACGCAGAGTTCCGATTTGTATTGAGCTCTGCTTAGTAGTCTGTCCATTAAAGCAGGAAGGCAGTTCTTGGTCTTCCCTTTACCTAGGCTGGTAACAAATCATGACAGCTTGCTTGAGATGTCCATATATCTCATTTTCCCGAGGACTGAGTTGTTTCCTGTTCATGAATATCAAATGGTAACATTTTTGCTGATGAAACTGTTCTGACTTATTCTAAATCAAGTGTCTAATGAAACTGTAAATGGAAGGGTGATGCAGATCTTTGCCAGAGAACTGTGCTTGTTCTCTGAGAAATAGTTTCGTCTTCTATTTTACTCAAAATATGTTCAAACGGAAATGAAAAACAGGAATTGCAATTTGGTCTTCAAATAAAAGGTTTCCAATTTCACTTGCTTAGGAACAATTAAATGAGTTGGAGAACTTGCGTCTGGAAATGCAGATATTGGTGGAGAACAACAGGAATTTACAGAGCCTTGTAGAAACTCAGAGACTAAGCAAGAACAGGTAAAGTAAAACAAAAAAAAGTCTTAACTTGAAGCAATTAAGTAAGATAAATTTAGAGTTTTTATTATTGTTTGTATAATTAGGGATTCACTCGGCCTCTTCTATGAAAATTGTTTACTGGCTTGTAAACTTTATTGCCTTTAAATCACCAATTCTTAAATACAGTGAAGTTTTATAAAGGAAATGAGAATAGAATGTAAAATAATTACATGCATAGCCATTGCTATGTATTATATGTTGCCATATAACTTGTGCAGTTATGGATTCAGTAGATAGGAAATGTCCAAATGAATTCAACACAAGTTTTAACATAGACATAAATGGAACCAGTTCTCCACCTCATGTTTTTGAGGGTAAGGGATGAACTTCCTCTGCTGTATGCATCAGATTGGAGATATCCTGAAGTTTGCTTCCAACTGTAATCTGTACAGCTTAGTTTTGGAGAGAAAATACTTTGTTTCATGGCTTACCTTTTTTGTTTTTTCTTTGTTTTCAATTTTGTAAAGAATCAAGTAATCTGCTGGTTTTACATCTTGTGAAAAGAAATCTTAACTGGCAGCAAATAATTCTGTTGATATTTATTTAATGACAATTCATTTTTAAGGGGCAATTTAGTAAACAGTAACTTCATGCTAGGTAGGAGTTTAATCTTTTTTTTGCCTATTAAATGTATCAAAAAATATTTTCTAGAACTTTTATCTCCATTCAATGAAGTGTCAGTGTTGTCAGTTTTAGAACTGACTTTGGCAGGGTAAGTATTTAATGTAAAAGAATGTTATTAAATTTGCAAAATTAAGTGTTCAGATTAGAAGATGCTGTAATTGCAGGTGTGTGTGCAACTCCAGTTTGTCGTTGCATTATATGTATTACACAGTAATCTTCAATTATGAAGGTATTATTTGTGGAAAATATTCTGTGCACAAGGCCTGCTTGGTGGGACAGATCAGGTGGGATACTGAATGGTGATGTTGTCTCTAAGGCCTTCTGCTTTGTTTGCAACAGACATTTGAAAATGTGTTATGAATTGAAATGGGAATCACAGAAAAACAAGAAGGGGTTACCTTGCCATGGAAAGCTGGATTCTGTGGCTTTGTTTTTCACAGTTTATGGAGTAGGTTACTTGGACCCAATTTTTCACAGAAAAGCATTACTTTTATGTTCCTCATTTGCTGGATTCCCAACTTGGGACCTTGGGATATAATTTGGATAAGCATTAACAATTCCCAGCTGCTGTTAGTTGATAGAAGTTGTGGTTTGAATAGACCGAAGGCTAATAGTATATTGCACACTCTCCTGAAAAATCAGGTTTAGGTATCTCAGGTCAGGATATTCAAAACAGACATTGTACACTTGTACACTATGGGAGCAGCTGATAGCAGCAGCAGGTAGTAGTTATCATTTGTGTGGCCCAGTGTTAGAGAGCAAGATGATTTGATCACTGGTGTCACACGTGACAAAGTGAGGATCTTGGACTGCATTGGAGGATGTTTGAGAATACAACATGAGACCAAGTGCCTGCTTTCTTTTGGTATTTAGTGTTAGGGTAGGGAAGAGCAAGCTGTACAGGAAAGGTCAACCTCCACCTCTGTAATGCTAAGCTGGAGCAGGCTCAGTTCACTACTTCGGAGCTGGTACAGGCTGACCAGTACTCTAATTTGAAAGGCTCAAGCGTAATCAATGATTCTAAACTTGGAGCTTTTAAAGTTCATCTAAGTATCCACTGAGAATAAGTAAACAAAGTTTAAACCCTTTCAGAGTTGGTTCATTATGTTCAGTATTCTGGATATGAACATCTGTCAAGACAACTACATGCATTTACTGTTTTAATCTGGATAAGATTATGTTTTTACGACTGGTTTACTCTGTTTGTGAGAAACTTTCCTCATACTTGGATTTCCTAGTGATCAGAAACATCCTGATGTTCAGTACCTCAAAGAGAAAGAGGAAGAGATTGCTGAAGAACGACTGGCCAAGGTATTTTACCCTTTTCATGTAGCAGTCAGTTGCTGTTTCCCTGCTATGAAGTATTAAGCTATTTTCTTCTATTTCATGGCAGTGAAACAAACACGGATTTCTAGTGAATTCTAACAGATACAGAGCCTGATACTTATCTCTTTAAGTTTTCTGTGTCAGGTTGCACAATAAGCAAAACCAGATTCAGATCACTAAATCTGACTCATCTCCACAGAGTTGGAAAGTGAAGATTGTGTCACTTGCTATGTCAAGGCTCTGCCAAAGGGTTAATGTTGCAGCAGAGGTTGCCACGGATCTGCCAGACAGAACAACCCCCTGTCAGAGCTCTGCTGTGTATGAATGGGCAGAGATATTGCTCTGGATCATTTGTGCTGGCATGAAATTGGAAATACGTGCATATAGCAAAGAGATTAACATAGTGAATGTTAGAGATGTGACTTACTGGGCAGTAGGACGATTTTGGTAGGATCTTGAATAAGATACTTGGCATCAGTTAAGTGACAAATAATTTTGCGTATGTATATTAAACATTATCAATGTAACTAATATTTTGAACTCTTACAGAATAAAGCAATGGAGGAGATGCTGAAAATCAAAGCAGAGTAAGTTTAATATTGTTCATTGAACTGGAGACTTGTATTAAACTCATTAATACCAAAAAGGTATATTTAAGCAATAGAAGTCCAAGATCTGAAACTGTAAAAGGTGTAGTTTGGAAATGTTGTTTACAGTTCTACAAGACACATTGAGTTCTTACTCTTTCTCATCAGTAGGTGGTAGCAGCACCTATTACTATATTTTCTGAAAGGGTGGCATTATATCAGGAAAATACTCTGACATAGGTGGAACCATAGAAAAAAAACTTAAATTGGAAGGGACTTAAATTGGAATTGTTTAAAATTATCTGTTTTGAATTTTTATATGCGGTGAATTCTAAGTACATTCCTTTTCAAATTAAATTGAAATAGTGTTTGTTTCTTTAGTAATACTGTAAATATTTTAAACTTAATCTAATTCTTTGCTTTTTTATGCTATTTTTTGCACTTCAGCTTGAATAATGAAAATTGTTTATTGTTTGAGGATTCCTAGATTGCGTTTGCACTAGTGTGCAAGTAGTCCTTGAAATTCAAGTGTTTGCACCTTGGATAATAGGAGTCAAGAAAAAAAAGTTAGTAGATGAAAATTAGTTTGAAAATGTTGCTTCTGTTATTCTTTTCCTAATCTGTATTGCTTCAGGGATTCATAGTGGCTGAATTTCCTAGTGTTCCAATTATTTACATTTAATGGAATGCTTTCTATGTAGGTAACTTCTTTTAAGGCTGAACATAGTTTTTATGAACATGGTCATTTCAAAAGTAATTTATACTAAGTTTTCCAGAAACCTTAGTCTTGATTAGGATTTATTTTGTTATTCAGTGCATTGGTTTTTCATACCTGTAGCACTGTTATAAAGTGTATTTCAGAGACCAATGTCTTATACAAATAATGTACAAAGAGGAAAAAGATTCTTTTGTCATCAAGAAAATGTCTTGACAAATGCAGTAAATGAATACTGCTTTTGTATAGTAGCTCTTAGTGACCTACACCAGGCTTCAGTGAAACAAAACTGATGACAAGAATATTTTTATTTATGCAATAGTTGAACAGACATGCAAAATTACTCAAGTTCATATAATCGGTAGGCAGGCTGCTAAGTTTGCTGGCATGGTTTAATATTCTGTGGGCCTGATAGAATTAAAACATTTTCAGCAGACAAACATCTGTCCAAAGTGGTGGTCCTTCTGTTATCAGGCCAAACAAGCTCAGACCATCTCTGAGCTGTTCAGAGATGTTTCTGAGCAACAAGGCTATTGGGGAAGAGCCATATACAAATGAGTAATTTAGGGGAAACTTGAAGAGCAGCAGCATTCATCTGGCAAATTCACATGCCTTAGATGAACTCTTAGCGTTCTTGTAGGTGAAGCTTCTGTCTTCTTTCATGAGTGGACTTCCCAAAAAGAAGAGCAACTCCAAAACACCAACTAGCTAAGAGATTGTATCAAACTCGAGAGCTGTGAAGCAGAATGTATTTTTTCCTTCTGTTAGCACTGAGTTGTAAGGAAAATAAATTGTCTTAAAAGGATATTTTTAGAAGATTCTGCCTACGTGTCCAAGGATGACTTACTAATTCAGTGGTATGCCATTTATGTTGGTTTTTAATATTACATGATGCTTTTACATTGGCAGATTAGAAGAGACCAAAAATACCCTCAAAATCAAACAGAATACTTGTCTTGAAATGACTCTGGAGATGGAACGAACAAGAGCTTTGGAGCTGAAAGCATTTCATGAAAAAGAAGAAATCAGATCAAAACTGGAGGAAACGTATGAAGAGAGAGACAGAATTGGAAAGGTTCTATATGTATAATTTTTTTGTTGTCTTTACAGTAGAATCTTATTCAGCAGAGGTAGAGCTGTTGCCAGTTGGACAATATTCTGAATTCATTAGCAATCAAAGACTGCCTCTAAAAATGCTTTGTCTTGCAGTTCAGTTATATTTGTAATGCTGTTTCCTGCACTAGTGGAACTCCGGGTACAGAAATTACTGTTGCAATTTGTAATACAAATCAAATGGTGCTTCTGCCCTTTAGGAGGATCTAATGTTGTACTTAAGGGAGACATAAGACAAATATGTACTTTCTGAATGAACCAACTCTTGCATCATATGTTAAAAAAACTTAAATGTTAGTATGTTAATAGTTCTAAAGAAGCTGCTACTTCTGAAAAGAGGAGGAGGGGCTACAGTTAAGAGGTACACAATGTATTTATTGAATACAGGAAATGGACATGCTGAGGAAGCAAGTTGACTCTCTTGCTGCGGAGAATGGGAAATTACTTGGTCATCAAAACCTAAACCAGAAGATTCAGTATCTTGTGAAACTGAAAAAAGATTACACTAAACTTACCGAGGTAAGTTGCAGAGTAGAATACAGATGTGTAATCATGGCCTGACATAGAAGAGAGCTAAGCTTTAAGCATGAAAATTAAAATTATTACTCTTCTGTTGGAGAGTAATAGATACATCTGATCTTATGATGTTGTGTAGGTCATGGCTGGTCTGTCTCCTCACAGGCCGCAGACAAGAATCACCCCATTTTATTTCCTCAAGTACATAGTGTAGATACCACTTATCTAGAAATATGAAAGAAGTGAGTATAATTTCCTTAATACACCTATGTTTCTTCTGTTTTACAGGAGAATGAAAAACTACGAGTTGAAAATGCTTTTTTGAAAGAATCAAAAAAATGTGACATGTGTAGACATCATGATCAGCTATAGACAGACACAGATGAAACTGCAGAGCCATATTTTTAAGGCATACAGAATAAGCAAAAGCCAGCTGTCAAACTTGACTTTTGCTGTGGTCCCGGAATAATCAAGTGTTTTAGTTCCTGGATTTTTTGCTGATAATAACTTTTAGTGAAGAATTTTACTCCAGCTAAGAGGGCAGCTTTCAATGACATATTAACACCTTCCTGTAATTTTTCAAAAATTGATTTTGTATAGGTGCTGGAAGATACTGCCTTGGAACTTCTGTACCTTGCCAAGGAAAAGCTTTCTCACTGGGAACACACCTGGATTTTTGTTGCCATTTGTGCTTGTATTCAGGCTCCTACCTCTTCTGAAATGCTACATTTTCCACCAGAGCTGAATTTTTAAAAGCACAATTTCTTTGTGATCTTTTTTTTTTAGCTAAACGCAGGGTTTTTTTACTGTGTCAAAACTAGTCAAATTTATTAACTATTAAAACTTAGGGGTTGCTTAAAAATAATTTTCATATTGAAGTTTGTTCAGTAAAGCATGAATGTGAATTTAGTAATAGACTTGTAAATAGTACTATAAATATCTTTTGGTTGCGTATTCTTTTCTTTCTCTATTTGAAAGCAAAATGCTTTTTAAACATTTTAAACATTTTTTCCCCAGTATAAACTTAGAGCAGACTTCTATATTAGCCTTGTAGGAAATTCTTTTGAAGTCTTTTGCAACCATTTTCTTGTGGCTAAGAGATGTCAAGAAACAAGATCTGAAAATATACAGAACATTTTAGGAGTATAGCATAAGTTCATTTAATTGCACTTAAGATTTATTGCAAATAACTGAAACTTTTATTAGTGGAACACAAAACATTGATTTATATATCAATATCAAACATTATGTTTAGCTTTTTTTTTTTTTACTGCCAGTAATACCATCAATCTATTTTTGGCTACTTTGTACAATACTACCTTTGCCCACAAGCCATGGGGCAAAAAGGGAATGAAGAGAAAGATGTGTGTCAAGTAAAGGGCGTGATGCCTAGTGAGTTTCTTCAGTATTTGGCTGAGGGGAAGAAGACTTTCCCCCAGTTTGTCTATGAATTTTAAAGCTACCTAATCCTGCAGATTTGTTTCCACTTGAGCTGTATAGAAGTAAAAGACTTGACCTTAAACTGGGGAGGTTTGTTTTCTGTGGACAAATGGAGATCAGAAGTAACTAACAACGATTACTAGCAATCTAGAGGGGTTTGTCATGGACCACAAAGCTCTTGTCCCTGTTGGGTTTTATTTGTCACTGCTGTGTTCTAGGCTTACAAATGTTCCTCCGAGCACCTGCCTGTCTT